TCCTTGACTCACTTCTAGTCAGTACCCCCACCAACGGCAACCATGGTCTTTCTTTGAATGCCATAGAGTAGCTTTGCTTTAAAAAAAAATTTTTTTATGCTTTCTATTTAGCTTTTGCTTTTTAAGCTTATAGTATGTACTTTTTAAAAAGAAATCACAGTTTTATTGACATATAATTCCTTTTCATGCAATTTAGTGGTTTAGATATATTATAGTTGTACATTCATTACCATAATCAATTTTCAAACATTTTCTTTATTCTTGTATCCATTTTTAGTTCCTCATTTCCCCCTAACCTCCCATTTCATAACCCTAAGAAACTACTAATCTAGTACTGTCTCTATAGATTTACTTACCAATATATGTCAGCGGTTCTCAACCTGTTGGTCGCAACCCCTTTGGAGGTCAAAATATCCTTTGACAGGAGTCGCCCGATTCATAACCATAGCAAAATTACAGTGATGTAGCAACAAAAATAATATTATGGTTGGGGGTGGTCACCACAACATGAGGAAATAAAGGGTCATGACATTAGGAAGGTTGAGAACCACTGGTATATATTATATTCTCTTGTATTTGTCTGATTTCATTTGACTTTTGTTTTTGGCATTCGTCCATGTTGCTCTGTGTAGTAATAATTGTTTGTTGTATATTATTTCATTATATGGCTGTATCGCAATTTATTTATCCAATATTTGTTGATGGCTATTTAGATTGTTTCCATTTTGGTGTTTTCATGAATAATACTGCTGTGATATTCATGTTCCTATGTTTGGTGAACATATGTAAACATTTGTTGGGGTATATCCTTAGAAGTGAATTTGCTGCATTATAAGATAGGTGTACATTCAACTGTGCTTGACACAATGGCTGTGTGTATAGATGGTGATAAAGAGTTGTATGAGCCCACAAGAAAATGATTTAAGGAAGCAAAAGTAAGAAAGGAAATATCACCCGAAAAAAAGGTATGTGTACATTTAGTTTTAATATTCTGCCAAATGGTTTTTCAAAGCAGTTGCATCATTTTACACTCCAAGTAGCAGTGTCTAACAGTTTAGTTGCTCTTTGTCCTTGCCAATGCTTGATTTTTTTTTTGTTCTTGTTTTTTTTGGGGGGATAAGTGACCTTTAAACATTTTAAAATGTGATACGTGACTCCATTTCTTGCGCAGTGAGTTGTCATTTTCTTTTCCACACAAAGGTGCTTGTTATGAGCTCCTTGAAGATCATGCTTCTATTTGTATTTTGAAATCCGGCACAAGGATCAGCATATACAAAACAAATTCACTACTGATAAATTTTTACTCATAGAGACCCTATCAGACAAGGTAGAACTGCCCCTGTGAGTTTCTGAAACTGTTTGAACTCTTCACAGGAGTAGAAAGGCCTGTTTTTGTCCCACGGAGCAGCTGATGGTTTCAAACTGTTGACCTTGTGATTAGCAACCCAAGGTGCCACCAGGGCACCCTTGGACCAGTCGATAGAGGGTACTTAATGGAGGTTGGATGCATCAAGGATGCATTATGGCTTGTTGTATGATAGCAAGGAAATAATAAAAAATAAAAATTGTCCAGTTTGTTCATTCAACAAATATTTGAATGTGTCCTATGTGTAATGCACTGTACTTGATTATACTAATATAACTATTTCTGTTCTCATGAATCTTTTTGGTAGTACTGTAGTGAAAGAAGATAAAAAAGAAAGAAAATAACCAAGTAGATAAATAAGTATATCATTATGCATTTTAATGATTACCGTGAAGGAAACAAATCGGCTACAACTATGATGGAGAGTAAGGGGATGGTAGGACCTTTTGCAGATAAGGTAGGACCTTTTGCAGATCAGAGAAGCCGTCTAAAAAAGTGATGTTGGAGTGGTCTGGGTTTTATTTTATTTTACAAATAGTCATTTGTGGATATCTTCTCAATTGAAATAAATGAAAAATTGTACTTAAGGGCTGTGGAAATCTTGATTTTGATCTGTGTGTGTGGTGGTACTAAGGGCAAGCGTGTAGTGCCAAAAGAAGTGTGTATGTGGGTCTCTGTAGACGTGGGAAAACCAGATGCTGCCTTTGCTATTAGATGATGGTGTAGCAGTAGTTCAACAAGAGTGGTGACGAGATAGTGACAGAAAGGATCTATTGGTTATTCTTGGAGTGATGGAGAAAGAGAAATCATGTAACTACAGGACAAGAGCTCAGTCCAAACCACAGCCAGTTGAAACTGCTATTAGTTGTGTTTCTTGATCCAGTTTTTAGTGTTTTGTGTTCTAGATGGACCATTACATTGATGTATGTGATGTAATGGGAGGTGTTCTGTGTTTAGTCTGTGTTTTACAAAGGCTGCTTAATACTTATGAAATAAAGCATAGGCGTCCTTGAGACTGACCAGAAGAATCCTGACTAATCTTTAATATCCTTGTTTGGAAAGACAAGTAATAGTAACTCTCTACAACTAGAAATTCTATTTTTTCTTCACTAGGATGAGAGAACATAATCATTTTCATTCCAAGCATACCACCTCTTCTTCAAATACATCAGAATTAAGAGGGATAACCCTCCTTATCCCATCTCCACCTCTTTATATTCTAAAGGCAATATAACATTACTGGGAACTTGGGAGACACCCTGCGGGTGTGTGTTGGGCTGCTAACTACACGGCCAGCAGTTTGAAACTACCAGCCCCTCTGTAGGAGAAAGATGAGGCTTTCTACTCCCCTAAAGAGTTACGGTTTTAGAAACTCAGAGGGACCCTTTTGTCATGTCCTATAAGGTCGCTAGGAGTTGGAATCGAGTTGATGGTGGAGTTAGGTTTGGCTTTTTTCGAGGGAGGTTGGAAACTAGATTCTTAACCTACCAGGAATCCTACAAATTTAGCTACTCTTTTCATTTCTAAGTATTCCTTTCTAGGTGTTCCTGTGTATAATGATTTTTTTTATATACACTAAGCCTCTTTTTCTTGCTGCTAAAGATAATCTCAGTGGCTACCTTGACTTCCTGTTGAGTGACTATGCCATAATTTAATGAACCATTTTTTTTACTGGACTTTTTTTTTTTTAAATACTTTTATTGGGGGCTCTTACATCTCTTATCACAATCCATACATTCCTCCAGTGTGTCAAGTACATTTGCACATATGCCTCCATCATCATTTTCAAAGCATTCTCTTTTTACTTGAGCCCCTGATATCAGCTCCCCATTTCTTCCCCCTCCCTTCCCCACCCATCCTCCTTCACGAACCCTTGATAAGTTATAGATTATTTTTTCCGTATCTTACATCATCCTCCTTGGCCCCTTACCCACTTTTCCATTATTCGTCCCCCTGGGAGGGGGTTCTGTGTTGATCCTTGTGATCAGCTCCCCTTTTCTCCCCACACTCTCCCCTAATCCTCCTGGTATCTCTGTTCTCATTGTTGGCTTTGAGGGGTTTATCTACCCTGGATTCCCTGTGTAGCACTGTGCATGCTCTGGTCTACTCCGATTTGTAAGGTAGAATTGAGGTCATGATAGTGGGGGGAAGGAAGCACCAAAGACCTAGAGGAAAATTGTGTGTTTCTTCCGTGCTCTACTGCACCCTGACTGGCTCATCTTGGACTTCTTTTCTAGTTTTCACTCCTGTGAATAATGAATGCCACAATGAGGGTCTCTTGCATATAGCCCCCCCCCCCTTAGGAATTTATTTCTAAATTATATATATTCTTGTTGACTATAATACCAGTGGAATCAACTCGATGGCATTGAGTTTGTCTTTGAGTGAGCAAAAGAGTTGCGGAGAACTAAATATCTGTAAAGCACTTTGCGTAGTAGCTGGAACATACTTACTGTAAATACGTGACTCTCACACTGCAAATTGCCTTCAGATACAAGCAATTTTGACTTGAACAACAATGCATTGATGATGGTGGTGGAAGCATTTACTGTTTATTGAGTATCTGTTTTTTGAGAGTTACTTTGCATATGCTACCTCCTCACTACAATTGAGTTTCACTAATTTGCCCCTGGTCTTTTCGCGGAAGAGACGAGCCAGTCAGGGTGCGATGTAGCAACAATGAAAAATACAACTTTCCTCCAGTTTCTAAATGCCCCCCCCCCCCCGCCCCCCCATCATGATCCCAATTCTACCTTGCAAGTCTGGCTAGACCAGAGGATGTACACTGGTAAAGATAGGAACTGGAAACACAGGGAATCCAGGGCGGATGATACCTTCAGGACCAGTGGTGTGAGTGGCAAAACTGGGAAGGTAGAGGGAGTGTGGGTTGGAAAGGGGGAACCAATTACAAGGATCTACATGTTACCTCCTCCCTGGGAGATGGACAACAGAAAAATGGGTGAAGGGAGATGTCAGACAGGGCAAGATATGACAAAATAATAATTTCTAAATTATCACAGGTTCATGAGGGAAGGGGGAGCAGGAAGGGAGGGGAAAAAATGAGAACCTGATGCCAAGGGCTTAGGTGGAGAGGAAATGTTTTGAGAATGATGAGGGCAATGAATGTACAAATGTGCTTTACACAATTGATGTATGTATGGATTGTGATAAGAGTTGTATGAACCCCTAATAAAACGATTAAAAAATTAAAAAAAATTTGCCCCTGATTATCTAGTTTGTAAGTGGTAGAACTAGATTTTAAACTGAATATTGGCTGCTGTTAAAATTCAAAGTGTTTTGCTCTTTTCCATATAAGCACTTCTGCCAATACTGAAATGATTATTTATTGCAATTCTAGTGCCTAGACTTGACTCGGATTTTGTTCCAGGTTTCTCTGGCAGAATCCTTTATCTATCCAGGTACTCAGCACATCTTTATTGAGTGTCTGCTTTGTCACAGGCATCACTTTGGGTACTGAACATGGATATTATTGCTGATCAGGCCACTAGGATCTGGACTAATAAACAAGGTTGGGAAGATTCTGTAGTCTTTGAATGAAGCAGCTTTGCTCAGATTAACCCTATAAGCTAGTGTTTGGTATTGCCTACATCTCTTCTCTTCTTTTATCTCCCAGTGGCCGCAGATGAGCCAGTCCCTAGCATGGGTTGGATCCGAACAGATGGCTGGAGTAGACATACAGCTGAGTAGAAAGTATCACACCACAAACAAGGTGAGAATTGCTAGTGCTTTTTATAGTTACAGAGTGCTTTCACACAGGTGTTCTTAGGTGGATCTCAGCAAAACTGTCACCTGGGTGAAGCAAAGCATTACGTGCATGGCACCTGTTTTGGGAATACAGCGCACTTTTTGTGCAGAGATGTGAAATGACTTTGCCAAGGTCACAGACCAACTGAATGGCTGAACCTAAGGGTTCTGATTCTATGTCCTATGTTTCTTTCATTTTATTTTCTTACTTGGAAAATTCTTCAGAAGAAAAGGTCTTTATGAATTTATGTTAAAAAATAAAGTTATAATTAACTTTTAGAGGGGAATTTGTTATTGTTTAGATTGCCTACCTTAGTATTTATTATTAGAACAGATTTTCTTTGGAGTTTATTTGGAAACTGCAAAATTCATGCCTTGTACAATCTTTAATAAAATTTTTTACATTAAAGAATATAGGAATTAAAAAAAAAGAATACAGGAGTTTAAAGACGTGCTTGCTTTGCTTGATTATGACTTTAAAAAGATATAGTTTATTTTATTTTTGTTGTTAAGAATATACACAGCAGAACAGACAGCCCTTAAGCAATTTTTTGCGTGTACAATTCAGTGACTCATTGATTACATTCTTCGAGTCGTGCCACTGGTTTTCTCTCTGAGTTGTTCCTCTGCCATTCATATAAACTCACTGCCCTTAGATAGATCTTAAAAGCGTGCCAGCTCAAGACAGACATTCTTCACTAGTGAAGCTAGACTATTGTTTGGTTTTAAGAAGACTTCAACAGGGGATATTTTTGGTTTAAAGGTTAAAGAATATCTTAGGGCAGTAGTTACAGGGATTCATAGCTGCTGAGGGATTTGGTTGTCTGATTTGGAGGCTTAGGGTCATAATTTCATGGAACATCCCAGTTAATTGGCCTAATATTGTGTTTAGTGCTTCTGTTCAACCTCCTTGTGTAGCGTGTAGTGCCTGGAGTCTACACAGTGGAGCAGCAGTGGAACAGGAGTCAGAAATAGGACATGAATGTGTGGCAAATTGGCATGAGACCAGAAGAAGAGAGCGATACCTGATAACTGTTATATGGACATTTTTTTTCCTTCTTCTTTTTTAAAAAATAATTTTATTGGGGGCTTATATAACTCTTGTCACAATTTATACATACATCCATTGTGTCAAGCACATTTGTACATTTGTTGCCTTCATCATTCTCAAAACATTTGCTTTCTACTTGAGCCCTTGGTATCAGCTCCTCATGTTTTCCCCACTGCCTCCCCACTCATGAACCCTTGATAATCTATAAATTAATATTATTTTGTCATGTCTTATACTGTCCAACATCTCCCTTCACCCACTCGTAGATCCTTGTGATTTGTTCCTCCTCTCTACCCCACCTTCCCTCCACCCTCCTGGTATCGCCACTCTCACCATGGGTTATGGACATTTTTATCCAAGATTCCATGGAAGAATCCTGACCACAAGTGGGCAAATGTAGAACAAAATGTCAGATTCTTGGGGAATCCAGACTTCTGAGTGACTTTTGACTGCTTTCATGTCTTTTTTCCTTTCCCTTTCTTGTTATCTTGTTATGTCAACAAACAGACCAGTCCTTTTCTCAGAATTGTTCTTAGGATATGGGGATCAAAATTTTATTTTAAGAGGCACCATTAATTTTTATAGTGCTACCCTAGGGGTCTTCAGAAAGTTCATGGAATCATTCTGTTATCTTTTTTGTTTGTTTCAGGTCATTTTATTGGGGCTTTTACAGCTCTTCTAACAATCCATACATTAATTGTATCAAGCATTTTTGTAC